TATATATATATATATATATATATATATATTCTTATTTGTCCAAAAGTTGACCAACTCTACTCCTCCTTAGATTTACTTTGATATCATTTAGGGGAGTGCATGACTTTAGAACTTGTTTAAATATTTAAAGGAGTGTATTGGAGTTTGCAGTGGAATGATGGGGATTAGAAGGGTCATAGTGGCAGAAAATTTAAGACTCATGAGTTATTTGAGCAGTTTATAAGATCTTTATGGAATTAGATTTTTGTGGGGTAAACAGCTAGAAACAATTGTGTATGATTTAATATAGAGTATATGATTAAGTTTAAAGAATTTTATATGATTGTTGAGGGGTCGAAAGCAAAACTAAGTTCTTGGCATACCTAGTTTGACCAATAGCTTTAAGATAAATTTTGGAGTGGATGTAAGGGTTGAGTTGCGTAGTAGATTATTTTATAGGATTCTATGAATGTTGAGAGGATGTTAATAATGATGAGAGCAGCAATTAAGATACAAATAAAATTGAAAAGTTGAATAGGATAACTACATAATCTCATCAAATAAAAGCCAAACATGAGCCACCAAGCACCAAGCTAAGAAAGAGTAATTCTTCACTTAAAAAATTTCATTCAATAACTAAAAAAAAAAATTATTACATATCAGTCCTATCTCTAGAAATTATATTGAGCACAATTTAAAAAGAAAAAAAAAAGGTAAAAACTTGTAAAAAAATGTTGGCAACACAATTTAAATTAATTATTTTTTTATAATGGCTAGCCCATACAAGCCTCTAACTTTGAGGAGTCAAACATGCATAAGCTAATTTTGAACTGTGAAAAAAAAAAGTTTTTTTTTACTAGGCTCTTGCAATAGGCATTGAATGGGCAGTTGGTTGGGCAATTTCTTGGCAATTTCTTCCAAATGAGCATTTGGCTTCATTTATTTGATCCACATGATGTGCTACATTACATTGTGGTGCAAGGTGTCCTCCTTTTTTAAATTGACATTCAAAAAAAACAAGTATAATTTTTATAACACGAGAATGAAATATTCCAAAAGTAAACTTATTGAAACTAAAACTTGTAGAAAAGAAAAAAAAAATTAGAACTAATCAAGGAATTGAATTTTCTACTAATGATATTAAAAAATTTTGCAATGATCAAAAGATATCAAAGTATTACATAATAGGGATGACTTCACAATGTAATGGGTGGACAATGTGGAGCAAAAAGCCCATTCTTGAAAAGTTAAAATGTATATTCGGTAATGCAAGGTTGTCTAAAAACTTATGGTTTGAACCAATGAGAACAGTAGATGTGCATCCTCATTCATTGGTTCCATAATGCCCCAAGAAGCTTGAAATGAAATTGTCATCAATTACTAGATCACCATGGTCTTCGAATGTACTCGCATCAGAACAGAAAAGCTTGCAATGTGCCGTGAAATGGATTTTTATTAGCCATTCAAAAAGAGATAAAGGGTACCAGTGATGGTGCTTGGAGCCAATTTTACAAAATACATGATTAATAGGAATGTTGTGTTAAACGAAAAACAAGTGCTAACATTATCTCAACAAATAGAGCACAAGATAAATCAATTGAAGCTAAACAGGTAATGAAGCTTGAGGTGAAACAACCCAGCCAATCAAGTTATTATACCGATAATAAGGAATTATCTGGAGCATATAATGAAGAATCTAAACAACAGTAAACAATAAAAGAAAAGCAAAGAACTTGTGGCCTAACAAAAGATGGACCTCCACATGTGATCAAAGAATTATTAAAGTATGGGCATGCTTATATATTAGCAAATGCATTTGTTGCAGATTTGTTGAATGAAGGCAAGTCAAAATCCTAAAAAGAAACCACAAAATTTGATGAAATAAGTCAATGGTCATGGTAACAAAACTACAAGAAGAATGTTGTCATTTAAGGTAAAACAACATCTAAATATTGGCAAACAAACCCAAAGAAAGTTGTTAGTTGCAGTGATTATTCAAAAAGAAAAAGGTTCTACTAAATATGGAGGAGATAGATTCAGAGTAGGATTGATTGCAAAGGGCTTCCCACAAGAAGAAGATGTGGAATGCAATAAGCATTCTTTCCAGTTGTGAGACGCACATGGATCAAGATCTTGCTTACCTTAGCAACTCAATTCGAATTGGAGCTTTAGTAAATGAATATGTAGGCAGACTTTTTCTATGGAAGGTTGCAAGAAATAATATATATGAAGAAAAGCTAATGGTTTCATCAAAGTAGGAGTTCAAAAATCAAACAATGTCTTCTTAAAATATCCTTATATGGACTTGAGCAATTTGAAAAATATAATACGTGAAATTTGATGAAGGTTTTAAAAGAAGCCTGCAAAGTGTAAATTTCGTCGCCATAAAGTGCTCATAAGAGGTTGAAGGTGTACTGATCAAGTTGTAAAACAAGTTTACATCTCCAGACAAGTTATGTTTGATGAGAGCAGCGTCTGATAAGTTTTCCTCTATCAATGATATCCTTACTTATAAGCCATAGATAGTTCAAGATAAAAATGCTCAACATTCTCCTCCTACGATAACTCAAGATTCGTTTGAATCCCACTCTTATTCCTTTTCTAAGAAAAAGATTTGGAAGCTTGGAGTTCATGATTGCAATTCAAAAAGAAATATGTTGAAGTTGACAATAAAAGATCATTTGATTAAGAATGTTCAATTGAAGTTTCAGAGCAAGCAAAAAAATAAGTCTTTCAGAAGACATGGTGACTGAGATTATTCTTTAATTGTTTCTTATTTTACTACTTCTACATAAGCAAATGTTGGTCTTCATTCACATTGCTGTTTCTCCTATTTCATTTTACAAATACTTCTACAAAAAAGATTGACGATAGGCCTCCTCAATGCTTTAGGAAGTGAGCTTGACAGTCTCCCAAAAATCAGCACTAAAGGGGAATATACTGAAATGAATAACTCCTTTCTAAAATAATTATTCTCCATATCTTGATTTATATGATACGGACTTGATTCTAATTATTTGAGCAGACTTTTATTATTTCTTTCATTTATGTCAAGTGGGAAGAGGTACTGAATTATGTAATAACCGAGCAAGAAAAAAATTAATAATATTACATTGTCTAATTTCTTCTCCAACTCTTTTTCCTTCGGCTATTGCACTTTAATTGAATCCGCGCCATGAACACACAAAAGAACTGGCATAAACTTTGGTGCTTTTTTTTTTCAACAGAAAACAGAACTTGAGAATCAAGAATTGTAAATTTTAGATACCAAGAATGCTGCCTTTCCAGGTACTAAAGAGAGCATTATCTAGTGGTTGAGGTACTGTCTCTATCAGCTTGGACCGTGAATCTATGCTGTTCTCTAAGTTTCTGTTATATTCCTACAAACTCAGAGATTGCTTTATTTTGTACCATCATCACCTTGATCCACCGGTTTTCTTAAGTTTCTTCATTACGTCCCCACTTCATTCATCCAATTAGTTAAAAAAGGCTGAAAATAGTGGTGGAGGCTGTGCAGCAAACCACATCTTCAATTTTCAAAACAGGAAAATGTTGAGAGTAGCTCCAAAGTTTGACATAAAAAATAAATCTAGCATTTTATAGCTAGAAATTATAGCCCATAAAATGTCTAAATGAATAATATGATAACTTTACCTACGAACTTGAAGATAACAAAAAAACTTACTTGATACATCAAAGGCGACATCAAAACATCTAATTTATATTGAAAAACAAATACAAATCTAAAAGTTCTTAGAATACATCTTACTTCACATACAAATGTGAAGGAAGCGAACTATGATGACCATAGAAAGAAAACCTTGATAAACTCCTGGTCGAATACTGCCTCTGCCTCAAAGTCTGGTGCTGGATTTCCCACCAACGGTAAGCTCTGAGGATAAAATGGTTTCAAAAATAAGATTAGAAACTGCACAATGAAAAAAAAATATATACCCCTCATATCCAAACAATAAACCCTAATAAGAAGTTAACAGAACATCAAAAGAAAACAAGTATATTTAGAGAGAATGAACACAAACTCGTACAGCATTGATGCAGAAAATTCTCTTATGCAATCTGGGAGCTGAGACGATCCTAGGAGAGCAAGGCTGGAAAATCTTCCTCAGGCCATGGAAGTTTCTTGGAATGGCAATCGTTCGAGCAAGAGGCATTGAAGGAGAAAAGGAGAAGGCCATCGGAGTGGGGGTTTTAGATGAAAAGGCGCTGTGGCTCGTCGAGAGTACTGAAGGAGCCGAGTACGCCATGGAGCGGAAGTTAACTTTGCTATCTCTCCAATTTCTCTTATGCCTGCGGATAAGCCCGGGTCGAAATGGTGAGGGTTTTAAGCCTTATAGTCGGATCGGTGCCGCTGATTACGGATAAGCAATTGGGCCAACAACACTGCTTCCATCACTCAACCGTGAAGGAGTAAATCGCCATGTCATTACAACACACAAAGCAATTCTTGTTTTTTATATATCTAATACTTGGACATTTACGTTTACATTTGTAATATTTTAATGTCATAAAATTATAATTTTTAACTTTTAAAAAGTATCTAATAGTGACATTTTTTGTGATTTTAAAAATTTTAGAGCTATATATATAAATATGAAAGTTTAGATGTTAGATATTCAAATATATGTGAATTGTATGGTACAAGGGTAAATGCCCTTAATAGTTAATCATTAGGTGATTAAGTTGACTTATTGCTTCAAAGGAAATGCTCACAACATAAGATGGCTTTTACTTCAACTATTATGTACTGCCGACATCGATTTTAATATCTAAAAAATGACTTTTGATTCTACTAGTGTCGTGACTCACCCATCAAATTTAAAATCAAATTCTAAAATTTCAAAATCAGTTCTTTTATATACTCAAATACAGTCATGTACTTAAACATGTTTTTTTAGGGGCGCAACAAAAGCCTTACGGGCTTCAAAAGCCCATATCCGAAGATCCTGTTATCGTTGGACTAACCCCACCTGTTGAAGTGGTTGAGTTAAACCCACCTGTCAAAAATGGTAAAACTAAGCCCACTTGTCAAAATGCTCGAACTGAGTCCATCTGCCAAAGTGGTCTACTTAAGCCCGCCTTCGAAATGGTTGAACTATAACTTCCTCTCAATTTGGTCGAACTGAGCTCATCTGCCAAAGAGATTGAATGAAGCTCACTTGTCGAAGTAGTCAAGCTAGTCCAAGGCAAACAAGCTGCTAGAAATAAAACATCATTATTTCATAACACATATGTCTATCCTTATTTATGACGGCGTCTAATACCAAAATTGCAATTTTTTCATCAAGAAGGTACAGACAAACGTAATATTGTACGTAATATAATTTTATTATTTTTCTCATGTATAAATTGGAGGTTAAACGGTGCTTTTTAGGGGATCAAATATCTAGAAAGAAAATAATCTCTAAGTCACTCTCTCTAGATATAAAAAAACGACATACTATCTCTTGTTAGTGGGAAGCAGAAATCCTATCTTTGAGTTAATTTATGGTCGTCTGGGAATCCTAAAAAAAAACATAGAGTGAGAAACACGAGCTCAACAATAGCATCCACCATCTTTTCTTGTACTTTCCTCCTCAAAATAACGGTACGGGACCCTACTTCCTAAAGGGATTCAACTTCTCCTTATTATTTTTTCTCTCTTAAAAACTAATCCTACACTAATATCTTTACATCCACAAGTCCTTCACTCTATCACCTTTTCTCATTAACAGGCTCAATTTTTCTCTCTTATATAAGTAGTATCACTAATTAAGAGGATTGCTGCCTTTATCTGCAAGATTTACCTATAGTTGGCCTTCTTGAGTGACACATGGTTGCAAAAATAGTCCTCACATATTTTGCACTCAAATAATTGTAAATTACATTAGGATTATACAACCTTTTTTTTCCATCTTATTCGTTATTTGAAATCAACTTTAAGAGCAAAACACTTATCATATCATCTTTATTCCTTAATGATATTTTTTTTCACCACAATACTACTATGTATTAGTGACATACTTTGTGATCATATTTGTAAATAATCCACGTAATAATATAACTGCGGCTTATTTAGTAATTGAGCATAGTCGGTGGCAATAATCCCTAAATAAACTGAATTGATGTCATTTCTTCCCATTTTCTTTTTCCCATTTGCATCCCCAGAATCTCTTATTTTGTTTTGTTTCATTTCTGCCCTGTCGGCAACTGAACACCTTTCATCCAATCTCTGTCAACTTGAATCATCTTCACAACTGCCATTCTTTGGCCTAACTCTGCCATTATTATCATCATTCGTCCACCAAATAGGTAAGTTTTTTACTTCTCAATTTCATTTCTCATTCCCTGCAAATCTATAACTATTGTTTGTTGAAATACATATATAATGATCATACGATAACTCCATAGGCAAATTCAAGTTACATAAAATTTAATATTTCATAAATATTTCTCTAATTTCAATCAAAATAAACTAGAGATCTTAAAGAAAATCTTCACATGTTTCGTAAAATACCAAGTATGAATAAATATTGAGCAGCATGCATTAGTAAAACTACTCATGAAAGTAAGTATGCCACAAATATTGATATTTTTTAACTTTAAGTAAATATGTAGTTACAATATTAAAATTTATATACCAGAAGAAATGATACTATTTTAGCATATATGTAAATAGGAGCAAAGTATGTTATATAAGCTAAGTACTCTTAATATTGAATTAATGTTATTTCAACATTAATATTAGATGATTATGTTATAATCGCTATCTTTCAAATAAAAAATAATAGACATTAAGATGCAAATAAGTCAAACCATTATACAACATTATGTATTATAAAAATGTTTAGCATGAGAACAATTTTGATTCAATGACTAATCATAATCATGCTGAGATAATTTTATATCAGAATGAAATGTCATTATACTTACCATTCAACACATGGCCATACTTAAAAATTAATCTTGCTAGAAACTTTAAAAAATGAAGAGTAGAATGTAACAATTTTTTATCTCACATCATATCCTTCTTAGCCTCACCACCTCATCACCATCATATGATACTTATTTGTAAGTATCACATTTTTATTAGAATTTTTAGTAAATTCTTGTAAAATACATTTCAAAACTATATATTTTAAAATTAGAAAAAATATTTATATAATTCTATAATTTTATTGAATTTGATCAAAACTCACTATTTCTTTTGCAAATACATTGATTTTTTATGAAATTTATTGCATATTAAAAAAACCTTATTTCTTTTTCTATAGATTTAGGTAAAATTGAATCCTCTGAGTTTGACGTGGCATTCTATGCACAAGTAGATCAAATAACAAACCAATGAGTGAATTAAGAGATTTGTTTATGGATGAGTTTCAGAGTACTATGATACTAGGTTAAATTATATTTTTTTATTTAATTTGTCATATTTGTATATATAATTTTTTTTTTCATTTTGAGTTATTTCTCTTTGCTTATGGAGAAGATTGATATAGTGAGAAATATGTGGGAGATGGCAACATCTAGATGAATGACAAGAACATTGAATGTTGCTCATCATGAACCTCTGAGAAAGGCCAACATGAACTTTTCAAAAGAGACACAAAAAGCGCATTAAGAAGTAAGAAGTAAGAAGTAAGATGTGCGGATAATGCGTCAAAGTATATTGATGCGGATAATGCGTCAAAGTATATAGTATTTTGTTATTATATGAAAAATGTGCGGATAATGCGTCAAAGTATAAGAAGTAAGAAGATGGAAGATAATTTATATATTTGATCCTTTTTTACATTACGAAGAGTGATTAAACAAACTCTAAAACTCTAGCAGTAGTTAGAAATTTGTTGCAAAACTACCAATAAATAATCTACCACATTATTCCATCACCATAATCACCAATATTAGATAATTTTATAGTTAAATCTCAAATTTCATGACAAAGTTTAAGCTTTGAAAATGTAAACAAAAAACAACATGTCAATAACCAAATAATTTAATAACATGCTCATATCTCTAATAATAATAAATCAAAAAAGTTATTCATCACACCAACATTATGAAATTAGCTATAATAACATATAGTCCATAAAAGCAAAACATTTTTCCAAATTTGCCTTCTGGTCTTCCACTAGAAACTCTTTTACTCCCATCTCTTCCTATTTTCTTCAATATCCTCACAATACCTGTTGTGGCTAGCCTAGCAGCTCTCACTGTCACATTACCACATACTCTCACTGTCATTCTTCAAGCCCTCAGTAGACCATCTTAAGATTCCAAACACAATTACCAATTAACCCAGTAAGCACACAAGCCACACCATAGGAAAAAAAAACATGAGATTTTTATGTGGTTCAGACAAACCCCAAAAACTAGCCTAAATCCATGGCTCACACCCATGCTAGGAGTACAAAGATTTTCACATACTCTCCTACATCGAGCACGTACAAAACCATATCACTGCACTTTCCAACATCGGACAAGTACGACCTCAAAGCAGCAAAATACAATGGGAAAATCAACCCCTTAGATTTAAAACTAAATTTGCTCACAACTCAAACTAAGCAACAATATGGTAAAAAAGTGTGCTTGTAATTTCGATTTGTTCTTGAGGTATAATCAGATGAAAAATAAATTTTGACAAGAAAATTTATTCTTATAAAAACATGCGCTTGTATTTGATGCTAAATTAAGTATCAAATATTTTATTTGATAATTGAAAGTACAGATCTCCAATCTTTCCTAGTATTAGGGAAGATGAGATTACAAAATCATGTTGGTGGATACAACAATAGTAGTTGTTTACAAAGGTTGTAGTTGGTTGTTATAATTGTTGTGACTGGTCATAACAAATTATCAGTGGTGGTCGACGATGACCTTTAGCGGCCAGCGGTGTACTTTTGTGGTCAACGTCAAACTTTAGTGATACGTGACCACTGCCGAAACTTCAAGAGTTAAGTTTTTTGTAGTTAGCTCACTTTCTTCTTCCTTTCCTTCAACCAAAGAATGGGAGTCTATTTATAGCTTTTAAGAAGGGCATTTTGGTGAAATCTCCCAAAACATTTCATCGGACGGTCCACATTAATTCGATTGATTACATATAGTATTTGCAATCCTTAAATGCCTTAACGACATCATAATTGAATGATCTTAGGCTCTTTGGATTCCTCTCATTGAGCCGCTAGGTTTGGCAAATTTTGAAATCATTTGACCTTTTAGTTGATTCATTAAACCAGTTGACTATGCTTTAATTGTTCAAACTTGGCTTTTTTTGACTCAGATTATATCACTTTTGGTGTCATTGACTTCATCTCATCGAGACGATCAATTTGACTTTAAATTTGTTATTATCAG